GCTTATCCTACAGTACCACACCAGGAGTCCTATGAAGCCTTTTTTTTTTTTAAGTTTTTATTGTGAATTGAGTGAAAGTTTACAGGGCAGATAATCAGTTTTACATTCAACAAATCATATACCTTGTTTCATTACAATGATTATAATCCTCTCCATGTACCATCAGTTAACAGCATTTCTCTCTATTCACTTTAGCTCTTTTTTTTTTAAACACTGAGGCATATGTAATAATTCACACAACCAAAGGGCACATTCTGCAAGTCTGCCTCCTGGCCACCAGCTCTCAGTCCCTCTCTTTCCGTGAATCTAGAGTCCTCAGCTGCTCCCTCTCTCCATGTCTCCATCTCTGCCTCCGTCTCTGGTGTCACTAGTTCTCTGGATAAGGTCCCACATTCTGCCTGTGCTCTTTTCCCTTGATGGTCTTAGGGTCCTTTGTTTCTGGACTGTAAGATTAACTACTCCCCCATTTTTTGATAACAAAACTTCTACCCTTAAAATTGTGAGCGTCGCATTTAGTTATGATAACAATTACTCACTATTGAATCATAAGAATCTTAACCCCATCTCTTTTCACCAGACCCATCTAGACAAGATGGAAACTATTCAGTGGAGACTCTTTCTTTCCCCATACACTCTTAAGCTAAACTCCGTCTTGAAACCTTGTAAGCCAGTCACTTCGTGCCTTTATCGCCCCCTCATTTTAGGTAGCCAATATCTAAGTTGCCTGTCCCTATCTACCCTGTATACAGAGGGGATAGCATTGATACTTGATGTGAAGAGTCCTTCCCTCTCTGTTGATATTTAGAGTTTCTGGTAGCATAGTGGTTAGGAATCGGGATACGAACCTCAAGGTCAGTAGTTCAAAACTACCAGCTGTTCCGTGGGAGAAATATGAAGCTTTCCGCTCCTGTAAAGATTTGCAGCCTTGGAAACCCTTTACGGACTCGCTATGAGTTGGAACCGACTCCACGGCACATAACCATCACAACCACAACCTCCATGAGTATAGATCAAGTTCACCAAAGTGTAGCAATTTACCCTCGTTTCCTTTATCAAAAAAAAAAAAAAATTTTTTTTTTTTTTAATCTTCTAGTCGAGTTCTAGTCGAGCTCTGGTAACATAGTGGTTATAAATCAGGCTGCAAACCGCAAGGTCAGCAGTTTGTAACTACCAGCTGCTCATGGGAGAAAGAAGAGGCTTTCCACTCCTGTAAAGATTTACAGCCTCGGAAACTCTGTTCAGGGTTGCTGTGGGTCAGAACCGACTCGACAGCACTTAACAACAACAACAAAGTCGAGTTCTGATTATCAAGCCATCGAGGCTAGGTCAAATGGGTACTATCAGCAAGTTTGGGTGTTCTTGTGCATCTCCCCTCACTTCATATTAGCTGAATGCATCACTCTCAGCTCTAACCCTCTGTGGCTATGTGCTTGTCCATGGGCTCAGGTGTCCCCAGGTCTCACCACACTTTGGACCAACCTCTTTCTTCCATCTCCAGGTCAATGGGATTCAATGGACTATAATTGATCTCAGCCCATTTCTTCATTGCTGCCTTTCCCCCTCTTCCACTTACCAGTAGAACAATGTGCTTGTCAGCAAGCTCGCATGCCTGCTCATGTGTTCCCTTTGAGTTACAGTCTTAGAAGGGGGTTTGTCCTGAAGGAATTTGATTGCTGGCTTTGATGGCTTCCCAGCGAACAGCTTGCCTAATTCTTATAGTAGCCAATCATGCTGACATTTTTGTTTTTTTTTTTCCTGATCTTTCTTTTAAGATGTATCTTCTGTCGTTCTAGCTGTTCCAGGCTGGTTCACTGGTCCTTTCTAGTGTGGGAAAGTCCCACCTCATAAGGTTCTAGATGGGGCTCAGGATTCCACCTAATACACTGCAGTGACCTTGAGGTTCGTATTCCGATTCGTAACCACTACACTACCAGTGACTCTAAATATCAAGCCATCAATTCCAGACCCATCTATACAAGTCTAAATATCAAATCCTATACACTGCAAAGGCTCCACAAGAAGCCTATTTTACTAGGCAAGTTCTAGAACCCCTTTTAGGTACTCCAATCAGTTATAGGCTGAAGATGGGCTTACAAGCTTTCTGTAATCATGTTTCCCAACATTCCTTTCTATCCCACTCAAGTGTCTATTTTACAATAGTAGGCAAATGAAACCAATATTCATAAGACAGTCAAGCATCTTAGTATTATTTCCCCTCTTCAGACTATGCCTCGATCGCTGTATCCCAGAGCCCTAATGTTCCAAGGTTGAGTGTACATCACTATTTACTTCGGTCCCATTTAACCCATGCAAACCTGTCTCAGTGCTCCCCTATCTACCTTGTTCTTTCAACCCTCCCCATTCTTGTACTGACCTCCCCAACTCCCAAACTATGATGTGTCTGCCCCCTATCCTGTGCTCTACCATCACCCCCTCCCCCAGTCCCCCCACTCGAACCCCATCATTGTGGATGCTTCATATCCATTAACTTTTCCCTCCATGTAAGACAGTCTATTTTATCCTGTAATCTAGCTGACCTTCTCACTACCTGGATCTCTGTTCCTATGTGCTTACATTCTTTCACATTGTAGTTGTTTTGATCATAGACTGACCTCCTGGATCTAGAAACGTCCTTTTTAATAACCACATATTTTATCACGAGGATATACTTTGATTTGATTATTTTCCTATTGGACATTTTAATTCTAGCCAACGATTAATGTGCCAGTCCAAATGTTGTTGTTAAGTGCCATCTGTTATAAATAGCTAACTTTAATATAGAAAATGATAGCAGTCTGTTAGCATGTAATTTTGAAGAGTTCATGACTCTGTTAGATATGCTTGTTAGAGACTGACTGGTGATAGTGGATGCTACAGCCGATCTCTTCTTTCTTTATTCCTTAGCCCAATAGAGAGTGCTCACTAGTAACCATACAATTTGATGAGAAGTTATTTTTTATATACCTTTTCATTCTCTGTTCAAATTTTACTTTTTTTTTTTACTTCATGGTTTTATTAGCAATTTCTAAAGCAAATTTTAGGTTTTCAACTATTGGTCGGCAGAGTTAATACATTAACAGAAGGACACATCACATGAATAGGGAGTGTGTAGCTACTTAATGTTTAAATAAATGAGCAAGAGTTGGGGAGGTAAGATTGCAGATAATATGAGCCTGGTTTTCAGTGGTTTCCAGCTTTTTCTCATTGTTCTATTGGGGTATGGCATAGTACGGAGTAGACCTGGATGCACATATTTTTCTACCACTTTGCTAGTTATGTGGAATCCTGGTGTGGCGCTGTAGGATAAAGCACTGGACCACAAGGTCAGTATGAACTAAAAGGTCAGTGGTTCAAACTCACTTGCCACTCCTTGGAAACTCTATACAGCGTCATTATGAGTCAGAACCGACTTGAAGGCACTTAACAACAGAATATATATGTGTGTGTGTTTATACATATCATATGTTTGCCACATCATAATACATGATTTCTGTGTTACAACTGATTGGAAGAGATCTGTGTTTGTGCCCATTCCAAAGAGAGGTGACCCAATGGAATTCGGAAAATCATCGGACAATATTTTTGATATCCCATGCAAGTAATGTTTTACTAAAGGTAATACAAAAATGGATGCAACCATACATTAACAGAGAACTTCCAGAGGTTCAAACCGGATTCAGAAGAGGACGTAGAATGAGGGATATCATTGCTAACGTTAGATGGCTCTTGGCTGAAAGCAGAGAATACCACAAAGATTTATTGACTATACAAAAGCTTTTGATTGTGTGAATTATGACAAGCTATGAGTATTCTAGAACACTTAATTGTGCTCAGGAGGAATGTGTACATGGACCAAGAGGCAGTTGTTCGAACAGAACATGGGAACACTGAATGATTTAAAATTTAAAAAGGTGTGCAACAGGGTTGTATCCTTTCACCATACTTATTCAACCTGCTGAACAAATAATACGAGAGGCTGGGTTCTATGAAGAAAAACGTGGCATCAGGATTGGAGGAAGACTCATTAACAACCTGCGATATGCAGCTGATATAACCTTGCTTGCCGAAAGTGAAGAGGACTTAAAATATATACTGATGAAGATCAAAGACCACAACCTTCGGTATGGATTGCATCTCAATGTAAACAAAACAAAAATCCTCACCACTGGCCCAATAAACAACATTTTCATCAATGGAGAAAAAGTTGAAGTTAATTGTTGAATGTGAAACTGATGATGTGCCCTGTAAACTTTCACTCAATCTACAATAAAAACCTTAAATTAAAAAAAAAAAAAAGTTGAAGTTGTCAAGGACTTCATTCTTCTTGGACCAACCATCAACAGTCATGGAAACAGCAGTCAAGAAATCAAACGACATATTGCATTAGGTAAATCTGCTGCAGAAGACCTTTTTAAAGTGTTGAAGAGCAAAGATGTCAGCTTGAGGACTAAGATGCACCTGACCCAAGCCATGTGAAAGTTGAACAGTGAATAATGAAGATCATAGAAAAATTGATGCATTTGAGTTATGGTATTGGAGGAGAATATTAAAAGTACCATTGGCTGTCAAAAGAACCAACAAATCTGTGTTGGACAAAGTACAGGCCAGGATGGCCAGACTTCATCTCTCATACATTTGACATATCATCAGGAAGGACCAGTCATTGGAGAAGGTTATCATGTTTGGTAAGGTTGAGGGTCAGAGAAAAAGAGGAAGATCCCCAGCGAGATGGATTGGCAAAGTGGCAGTATCAATGGGCTCAAGCGTGGCAACAATAGTGAGATTGGCCCAGGACTGGGCAGTGTTTTGTTCTGTTGTGCATAGAGTCGATATGATTTGGTACCAACTCAATGGCACCTAACAACAACAAATGTTACAACCTTGTATTTCCCAGTCTACTGACCTTGTATTTCTCCTTCAAATATTCTCTGCCTTTTATTAAAACAGTGTTTTACTCCATAAGTAATCTGTTCTCTTTATTGTAAATATTGTTATTTTAGGATCTTGGAGTGAAAACATATTGGGATATTTTCTGAGAAATAACCAGATTACAGCCAAAGATGGTGCGGAGATCACCTGGTATCATGCTGCTAACCACAAGGCTCAGATGAATGAGGCACTGAAAAGTAAGACCATCCAGTTACTTGTATTACTTTGGATAATTGATATATTTCACTACTGTTGGATACTTGGGCATATTTTCTGGCACCAGAGACTAAGTGATCCTAATATAAATTCTATGCTGTAAAAAACAATTTTATAAAGGATCTCATTTTGTACACAAACTGAACAAATATCCATAATTGAAGAATATTCTAATTTTCTAAAATTAATTTCCTTTTCTCTGTGCTTTATTTGGAGTCCTGTGTGGTACTGTAGGATAAGAACTGGACTGCTAGCCAAAAGGTCTGTTTTCAAACCCACTGACTGTTCCTTGCAAACCCTATTCAGGGTTGCTATACATCAGAACCGACTTGATGGCACTTAACAACAAGGAGAGGTTCAGTAAATATCTGTTCAGTGAATAGATAAATCCATTGCATGTACTTGTTAGGTTCCATCAAATTGATATTGACTCATAGTGACCTTATGCACAACAGAGTAAACACTGCCTGGTCCTGTGCCAAACATACAATCCTTGCTACACATGGGTCCATGGCTGCTGCCATTGTGTCAATCTATCTCATTGGGGGCCTTCCTATTTTTCACTGACCCTCTACTTTATCAAGTTTGATGTCCTTCTCCAGGGACTGGTCCCAACTGATTATATGTCTGAAGTATGAGAGATAAGGTCTAACCATCCTGGCTTCTAAGGAGCATTCTGACTGTACTTCATAATCAGATTCATTTGTTCTTTTGTCAGTCAATGGTACGTTCAATATTTTCCTCCAACACCATAATGCAAATGTATCAGTTCTTACATGGTCATCTTTATTCATTGACCACCTTTCACATACATATGAAGTTATTGAAAATACCATGGCATGTGTCCAATGCTCCATAGTCCTCAAACTGACATCTTTACTCTTTAACACTTTAAAGAGATCTTGTGCAGCAGATTTGCTTAATGCAATACGTTGTTTGATTTCTTGACTGAGTGTTGATGGTTTATCACAGCAAAATGAAGTCTTTGAAACTTTCATCTTTTCTCCATTTATCTTGATGTTATTAATTGGTCCTGTCATGTGCTCTTTGCTTTTCATCCATAAGTATTGTAAGTCCTCTTCACTTTCAGCAAGCAAGGCTGTATCATCTGCATATCGCAGGTTGTTAATGAGTCTTCCTCCAATCCTGATGCCTCATTCTTCTTCATATAATCCAGCTTCTTGAATATTTGCTCAACATGTAGTTTGAATAAGTATGGTGAAAGAATACAGCCCTGGCACACACCTTTCCTACTTTTAAACCATTAAGTGTTCCCTTGTTCTGTTCAAACAACTACCTCTTGGTTTGTTATAGTTTCCTTATGAGCACAATTAGTGTTCCAGAATACTCATATTTCACAATGTTGTCCACAGCTTGTCATAATCCAGGTAAACATCTATCTGGGATTCTGTTTTCAGCCAAGAACCATCTGCTGTCAGCAATGATATCCCTTGTTCCATGTCCTCGTCTGAATCCATCTTGAACTTCTGACAGTTCTCTGTGAGGTATGGTTGCAGGTGTTTTTTAATTATCTCTAGCAAACTTTGCTTGAATGCAGTATTAATGTTGTCCAATGATTTCTGCATTCCATTGGGTCACTTCTTTCTGGAATGGGCACAAATATGGATGGATCTCTTCCAATCATTTGGCCAGGTTGTGTCTTCTAAATTTTTTTTGCATAGATGAGTGAGTGCCTCCAGTGCATCAGTTTGTTGAAAGATTTCAATTTGTATTTCATCAATTCCTGGAGCCTTGTTCTTTGCCCATGACGTTAGTGTACCTTGGACTTCTTCTTTTAGTATCATTGGCTCTCCAATATATGTTACCTCTTGAAATGGTTGAAAATCAAGTGTTTCTGTTATAGTAACTCTGTCTATTCCTTCCGTATGCTTTTGATGCTTTTTGCGTCATTCAATATTTGCCCGTTGTTGTTTTGGTTAAGTGCCATCAAGTTGGTTCCTACCCATAGCGACACTACATGGGAGCAGTTGGTAAGCTTGAACCGATGACCTTGTGGTTCAAAACCAACTTTGCAGTCTAGTGCATTAACCCACAGCACCACACCAAGACTCCATTTTGCCTATACAATTTTACCAGTTCTGTTAGTCAATGCTTGGGGTTTTTTCTTCATTTTCCTTAGCTTGAGAAAGGCTGAGAGTGCTTTTGCCTTTTGATTTTCTAAATGCAGGTCTTTGCACATTTCATTATAATACTTGACTTTGTCTTCTAGAGCTGCCTTTTGAAATTATATATTCAACTCTTTCACCTCCTTGTTTTTCCCATTTGCTTTAGCATCTCTATGCTGGAGAGCAACTTTCTGAGTCTCTTCTGACATCCATTTTGGTCTTTTCCTTCTTTCCTGTCTTTTTTATTTTATTTTTTTTTCTTCCCTGTTTTCTTAATGACCTTTTACTTTCTTCCTGTATGATGTTATTGATGTCATCCCACAACTTTTCTGGTCTTTGGTCATTTTATTGTTGTTAGGTGACATCGAGTCGGTACCGACTCATAGCAACCTTATGCCAACAGAACTGTGTTTGAAGAAGTGCAGCCAGAGTGCTCCTTGGATGCCAGGATGGCCAAACTTTGTTTCTCATACTTTGTACATATTGTCAGGAGAGACCAGTCGCTGGAGAAGAATATCATGTTTGGTAAGGTGGAGGGTCAGAGAAAAAGAGGAAGACCCCCAGCAGGATGGATTGGCATCGTGGCAGAATCAATGGGTTCAAGTGTGGCAATGATGATGAGGTTGGCCCAGGATTGGGCAGTGTTTCGTTAGTGTCTAATAAATTAACTTTGTTCTTGAGATGATCTCTAAATTCAGAGGAGATTTGTTCAAGGTCATAGTTTGACTCTCATGGAATTGTTTTAATTTTCTTCATTTTCAGCCTGAGTTTGTATATGAGCAATTGATGGTCTGTTCCACAGTCTGCCCCTGGCCTTGCTTAGGCCGATGATACAGAGCTTTTCCTCCATCTCTTTCCACAGATGCAGTCAATTTGGCTCCTGTGTTTTCCATGTGGTGAGGTCCATGTGTATAATCATTTTTTATGTTGTTTTAAAAAGGTATTTGCAATGAAGAAGGCATTGGTCTTGCAAAATTCTATCATGCAATCTTCAGCATCATTTGTATCACCAAGGCCACATTTTCCAACTACTGACCCTTTCTCTTTGTTTCCAACCTTTACATTCCAATTGCCAGTGATTTTCAATGTATCTTAATTGCATATTTGATCAATTTCAGACTGCAGCAGTTAGTAGAATTATTCATTTTCATCATCACTGGCTTTAGTAGTTGGTGTGTAAATTTGAATAATAATGGTATTAACTGATCTTCCTTGTAGGCAGATGGATATTATCATATCACAGACAGCGTTGTACTTTAAGACAGATCTTGAAATATTCTTTTTGATGATGAATGTGACACCATTCCTCTTCAATTTTTCATGCCCTGCAGAGTAAATCATGTGATTCTCAGATTCAAAATGGCCAATACCAGTCCATTTCAGTTCACTAATGCCTAGGATATTGATGTTTATGCATTCAATGTCATTTTGACCACGTCCAATTTTCTTAGATTCATACTTTGTACATTCTGTGTTCTGATTGTTAATGGATGTCTATAGATGTTTCGTCTCATTTTGAGTTATGAATAGCAGTGGAACACTGTTAGCACCAGAATATTGAATACTGAAACATGATGAAGAGCACCAGAATTTTGTCAGATATATTGCCAGAAGATGAGTCCCTTAGGTTTGAAAGCTCTCAAAATATGACTGGGGAAAAGTTTCCTCCTCAAAGTAGAGTTGGCCACGATGGCACGAATGGAGTAAAGCTTTTGGGACCTTCTTTTGCTGATGGGGCTCAACTCAAAATGAGGAGGAACAGCTATAAACATCCATTAGTAATTGGAACATGGGATGTTGTTGTTGTTGTTGTCAGGTGCCATTGAGTCGGAACCGACTCATAGCGACCCCATGCACAGCAGAACGAAACAGTGTCCGATCCTGGGCCAACCTCACTACCGATGCCACACTTGACGCCATCAATGATG